CTAGGAGTAAGTGCAAAGTGAAAAGGAATTGGGGAGCCATAACAAATGGTGGTCATACCCAGCCACAGGTGCAGACTGGCATACCCCTGACCATTTGTTTGGTCAAACAAGTTAGGAGCAGACCCTTGAAGGTCAAACCTAGGTCTGAATGGTGATTAGGACACCACCAGACTCAGGTNAGACTGGCACACCCCTGACCATTTGTTTGGTCAAACAAGTTAGGAGCAGACCCTTGAGGGTCAAACCTAGGTCTGGATGGTGATTAGGACACCACCAGACTCAGGTCCAGGCTCAAGCACATAAAGGGGAGAAGGGAGTGGGAATTGATTGAGTTATGAGGTTCAAAGAACCCAGTTCAGAGTCATAGACAACAATATCAAAGTGATGTGATGGCCGGAACTATACTCACATACAAAGGGGAAAAGGGAAAGGGAGTTCACATAAGAAAAGCACAACAGGGTTGCAGAAATATAGTAAAGAAGAACATAACAGACTAGGAAGTAAACACATAATGAAGAAGCATTATTCAACTAAGAATAACGTACCAGTTGCAAAGTAAGAACAAGCAGAATAATAGAGCAATCATGGCAAGTAAACACAGTAGGAGCACACTTAAGTTCAGCAGAACACTTGAGAGTTTTAGAGAGAGAGCTCAAAATTGTTTCAGAAAGCACAAAGTAGAAGAAGAGAGTATAATTTTTTTTGTGAAAGAACTCAGTATTCGAATGTGTAAAAGCCTGTGTTTTTGTGCAGAAAAGTCTGTGAAAGCATCTGTAAAACCCTTTCTTTAGTGCAAAAGAGCATTCCCTTTTATAGTGCAGAAGGTGAGTAAAAAAAGGTAAGAGAAAAGTTTTGAAATCAATCACAAGCTGTTTCCCTTTGGTTAAGGGATTTGATTCAAACGGGCAAAAATAAATAAGGAAAGGATTTGTTTTAAACAATCTTTTCTGAGGCAATATAACAGGGGCAAATACACAAAAACCTATTTAAGGAAACAGTTTAGTAGTACACGGTTTAGGTCAAACAAGGAAAGACAATCAATCAACCAGCCCGTAAAATAAGGATTCGAATCTTAGTGTGAATGAATCCAACCAGAAAAAGGTGAGAAGGGTTAAATTTGAAGAAACTTAACAACACACAATCAAAACTTTTAAAAATGGAACTCGGAATCAATCACAAGCTGGACAAAGGCCTTTTGAAAGAAGAGAACTTGTCATATAAAAAGCATACAGACATGTGAGACAAGAGAGAGTTGTTGTAAAACTAGCAAGAAATCAGAGTACCCAAGAAGGTTAGGTTCATAGAATCAGAATGAGTCTGAAAGAGAGTCAGGGTTCTGAATGGAACCCTAGTCCAAACACAAAGTCAAGCTTGCCAAAAAAAACCCCCAAATACTAGGGTTTCTGACTCAAATCAGATGCATAGATGAGAAAACAACAAATAGAACAGGCTCAGTAGTCTCTTTCAGAGACTTATGAGAAACAAACAGAGATAACAACAAGTTTGAAACACAGGGAATACATTTAGGCAAAGCTTGTCACTCAAACAAGTTCAGAAAAGAAAAAGCGATACGGGTTTAGGAAAATAGTAGATGAAACATGCTTAGGGTTCAAACAAAGTCCAGTAAAGGTAGGCAAGGAGCAAAAGCTTAGTAAAAAATACAGTAGAGGAACATACGAGATAGACATGTAAAGCATGCTTATAGAACCCAGTAGAGGGAAGAACAGAACACAAAAATAGAAGAACATGTATCGTATGGCAAACATAAGAACATAAGAGAAAAACTCATAAGAACGTGGTACAGACAGAGTCACACAAAGAAAAGAAGAAGAAGAAGAGTCGGAAGTTATTTTGAGATTTTTTCGAAAACCCTAAATTGAAAGCGAACTAATTTTGAAAAGAAAATTGGGGAAAAGCTTTAAAACGTTGAATATAGCACGGATACATCACAGATCCAAGTAAATAAAAGAGGAAGGAACCTCGAATAGCTTTAGGGTTTCTCTGAAACCCTAGAAATGAGAAGGCTTAGAAGAGGTCTGGTCTTGAGTCAGAGATGGCCATGGCTAGGCTTCTAAAGCACGAATTCGTCGGAGCAAGGCCGGAGAGGCCATAGAACCACAGATCTAAGAAGATCTGAACGAACGCCGTTGAGATCAAACCTCGAAATCTTGAACACCCATGGCTTAGGAGTGAAGGAAGGTGAGCACAAGTTGTCCATGGCCTGAAAAGCCATGGACTCCGGCGAGATAATGGTCGGAGAAGACGAGGGAGGCGATTAGGGTTTCGAGTGCTTGAGAGCGTTTTGAGAGAGAAGAGGTTTCAGAGGCGGTTGTCTAAGAGAAATAAGGGTTAGGGTTGGGGGTTGGTAGAATTAAAAAAAAAGGGTCGTTTGTGGCCGTTGATCAAAATGATTAACGGCCTGGATTAAAAGGATTGGATTAAACGGGTCAAGGGGATGGGTTTGAATGAATTGGGCTGGTCCAATTGAGTTCAAAATTGGGCTGATTTCAGGTTGAAATTGAAATGGAATTTGGGTTATAATTGAAATGAATTGAGGCTACAATTGAAATAGCCAATTTTTCCTTTTATTATTTTATAAAAATAGTAAAAATATTTTAAAAGCAAATTAAAGGCACTGAGTCAACTAATAATATATAAATATTAATTTGAAAATATTGGGATCAATTTTGTAATTATAAAATGCTATTAAATCTTAAAGAGGCTAGTATTGCAATTATATGCAATTTGGCTTTAAAAATACCAAACGAATTTGTAAAAAATGTGTAAAAATCATGCTGGATATATTTTGGCGTAAATATGAGAATAAAATAAATTATTCTCCAAAATGGCAAGCTTTGGGAATAGTTATTGGATTTTATGATGTAAAATAGGTCATAAATTGGTTTAAAAATCATTAAAATGCCAAAACCTTTTGGTGTGCTTATATATGCGCATATATGTTATTTTGGAAGTTTTTTGGGTATAAAAATACATAGGAAAAAATTGGATATCAACAAATGCGATGGCCGCATTTGCGACCAAAACATCGCAAATGCGACAAAACTAGAACCAGCACTCAAGAATTATGAAAAATTATTCTGAAACCAATCTGAAACTCACCGAGCCCTTGGGGCTCTAAACAAAATATGCACACAAGTCTAAAAATATTATACTAACTCGCTCGCGCAATCAAAACATCAAAATAACCTCCAAAAGCACGAATCGGATGCCAAAACGCATGAAGATTAACTTAAACTTCAAGAACTTCTAAAATTACAACCGAGCGTCCAAACCATATCAAATCAACTCCGAATAGCGCCAAATTTTTCATACAAGTTCTATATGACAAAACAAACCTACTCGAAGCTTCAAATCATGCATAACAATATCGAAATGATGAATCACACCTCAAGTCAAAATTAATGAACTTTGAAACTTCAACTTCTACGACCAATGCCGAAACCTATCAAATCACCTCCAATTGACCTGAAATCTTGCACACAAGTAATAATTGCCATTACGGACCTACACCAACTTTCAAAATTGGAATCCGACCCAGATATCAAAAAGTCCTCTCCGCTCAAACTTCTCAAAAATCCAACTTTCGCAATTTCAAGAGTAATTCGATTACGAACCTCTAAATTATAATCCGAACGCGCTCCTAAGTCCAAAATCACTCAACTGAGTTAACGGAACTGACAAAACTCCATTTCGATGTCAAATACTAAAAAGTCAAACTTGGTCAGTTCTTCCAACTTAAAACTTAAATCTTGAAGTTCATTCTTCCAAATCGATTCCGGATAACTTGAAAATCAATACCAACGATTTACACAAGTTATAATACATCATGCGGAGATACTGGAGCTCTCAAAACACCGAGCGAAGTGCAAATACTCAAAACTACCAGTCGGATTGTTACAAAATTCAAGCTGACAAAGTGGCTCATGGATGAATGTGGCCTTAGTGCCTAAAATCCTGAGCATATATGTCCCAACAGTTGCTACGATTTTTGAAAATTGAAACAAGACTATTTTTTTAGCTATAGAATTATGTGCAAACAAATGTATCATGGCTTGAAGATTACAATTATTACAGTGACTTCAAATGCATAGCAAAACTTAGAATTAGCTTCAATAAATATTGTAGCTATATAAATTTGTGGCTATATTATTTTGCCATGATATTCATCGTATCTATTGAGCCAATTATTGCCACGATTTTTACAACTTGAAGGAAAAATATTCGATATTTTATTTGACATGATTTATTGTGGTTAAATTTTTTTTTATTGCTACAATAATTTAAATACATGGCAAAAACTAACAATTAGCTATAAATTTATAATGTAGCAGTAAATGTGTAGCTATTTTTGTAGTTATTATTACGATACTAACCAATTATAGCAAAAAGAAGGAATTAGCTTTGTCAATTTACTTATTGTAGCCAAGAAATTTCACCAAATTGTGAACAACCACGAAATTTCAATTTTTATGGCTATTGCTAGGTAATAGCCACGATTTTTTATTTGTAGCCGTTGATGCATAATGTTGTAGTAAGTGTTAGATTTTCTTCAGGCAAAAAAACTAGACGTTAAACATCTCTCCACGATAATTTGGCTATCCAAGTTGGCTGTAGCTAAGCTGTTAATTAGGTCAACATTTCTCCTCTTTGAAATCGGACCATCATGCTGATCAGATGAAAGCTCAATATCCGGTGAACGTGAACGTCTCCTTGGCCTCACTCTGTTAATTTCAGTAACATTAGATTCAATCAAGTGAGGGAAATTGAGTACAGCTCTTGAACCGCGCAGTTTAAATGCAGTTCTGTCATAAGCCAATGCTGCATCCTCAGGAGTTTCATATGTCCCTAGCCAAAGTCTAGCGCCTTTTCTTTCAGGATCCCTTATTTCTGCAGCATATTTTCCCCATGGCCTTCTCCTAACTCCTTTGTATTTCTTCTTTTCCAAAGGCACCTGATCTGAAGATGGCTCCTTATCATTTTCTGACGAAGTCTTTTGCAATGGGACGATATGATCATCTGCATATTTTTCTTGATTGCGTTGAACCATGTTTTGTGCAAATATGGTGTTCTCTGAACCTGGGTTTCTAGGTGTTTGGATGGTGTTATTGAATGAGTTTAGTTCTGAAAAGATTTGGGGAAAGTCGGGATCATTGAAGAGATGCTGCATGGTGTCAAGAAAATTTTGCTGATCAAACTCTAATGATATTCCCTGCATCTTTTTTTTATATTAAAGTTCTTTTTGTGAATGTGGTGTACGTAGTGGCAAAGGGATAGGAAAATGATGATGTATATATATAGGTTTAGGAATTCAGGGATGGAGGGTGTTGGACATTAGTATTATGGTTTCGTGAGTAGGTAGTGCATGAATGTGGGATATATATGTCGGCTTCAGCTCTGTCTCCTAGGAGATTAACTTGTACATGTCTAATCACCGGTCAAATTCTTATAAACTTTGGACTGCTTTCGAAAAGGGAATTATATGAGGAATAAGGAGTATGGGTCTGCAACGCAACAATGCTTGAAAGTGATGCCTGCTGTATATTGGTAATTGCTTTAATATAAGTTGAAGACATTGTAAAATCGGATATCGAGTAAAAAAATTAATTAGAATAATTTGTTCGTAATAATAATTTTAGTATTAATAGCAAAAATTTAAAAATTTATTTGCACAATTTAAAATGAAAGAAAATAAAGGTTGTAAAATATATATTTCATGCACGTAACATAAAAATAATTATTTAAATAAAGGTACTTTTATAATATACATTATATATTCTTGAATAATTTGCTCAATTATATTATATATATTCCATGCACAACTTAACATAGCATATTTTATCCTATACAGATAGTCTCCCTGCTTTCCGGTGATATAACTTTGTGTCATTGAAAAGTTGGTAGAAATATAATAATACAATTGAGCATAATTTTCAAGAATATATAATGTATATAATAAAAGTAGCTTTATTTAAATAATTATTTTATATTATGTGCATGAAATATATATATTTTACAAACTTTATGTAACGATCCGACTGGTCGTTTTGCCTTTTAGAACCCTGTTCCCTTAAATAAAACTTTCCGCACTTGCTTTAACTAATTTACGACTTGCGGGGATGGTAGGTTCGGGATTTGGAAGAGTTTGGAGTGAAATATGCCCATTTGATTCCTTAGAATTTTCTTAAAAGGCTAAGTTTGACTTTGGTCAACATTTTGAGCAAACGGACCCAGATTCGTGATTTGACAGTCCGAGAGGGTCCGTAGGAAAATATGGGACCTGGGCGTATGCCCGGAATCGAATTCCGAGGTCATTAGCCGGAGTAATGAATTTATATCAGAAATTGTTAATATGAAGTTTTAAAGATTTAAAGAAACTAATTAATGATTGGTTCCATGAGTATCAGGCTCGTATGTTGGTTCCGGAGCCCGGCATAGGTCCGATATATCATTTAAGACTTGCCCGCAAAATTTGGTATCAATCCGAGTAGTTTTAGGGCGTTTCGACTCGTTAGACGAAAATTAAGAACTTGAAGTTCATAAGTTTGATTCATTTGGTTTTAAGGGGTGACTCTTAGATTTAGCATTGTTTCGGGCGTTCCAGAGGTTCGAGTTGGTCCGTCTCGTGATTTCAGACTTGTCGGTATGTTCGGGCGGGGCCCGGGAGCCCAGAGCGTCAAACGGACGAGGCTCGAGTGAAGTTGAGAATTTGGAGAAATGCTGAAGCATCTGCTTCTATCATAACCGCACCTACGGTTGGTTGACCGCAGGTGCGAAACCACAGAAGCGGTCGTAGCCTCACAGATATGGCCCAGAGCTGGCCAGGCCAAACCGCAGAAGCGCTCATCTGAGAGGGAAGAGCTACGATATCAGTTTGAGCATTTTGAGCAGGGTCAGATGTCCGTGACCTATTATGAGGTGAGGTTTTTCTGAGTTGTCTCGTCATTCACTCATGATACTTCCCATTGATGTAGAGAGGGTGCGAAGATTTGTTGCGGGGTTGCACCCCGGTATTCGAGCTAGCATGGCCGAGAGGTGGAGATGGGTACTGAGTATCAGCTAGTGGTAAAGATTGCTCGCAAGATTTAGGGATATCGCCAGAGGGGTAGAGAGCAGATTCAGTAGGACAAGAGGGCCCGGTTCTCGGGAGAGTTCAGAGGTGCCCCAGCTAGGGGTAGAGGTCACTTCGGGAAGGGCCAGCCTAGTAGACCCCTGTATTCAGCACCATCACCACCTCCCCGAGGTGCTCCAGTGAGACCATATTTCAGTGCGGTGCCGGAGAGTTCTTACCGCCCACTAGCTATTCAGGGTTCCTCCGGCGGTTATTCAGGTCCACAAGGTTCTTTTGATTCTTATTTTAGTGCTATGTCGGAGTGTTCATAATGTCCACCGGCTATTCAGGCTTCTTCCAGTGGGTCTATAGGCCATCAGGGTTAGCCATCAGGGCAGCAAGCCGCTGCACCACAGGGTTGTTTCGAGTGCGGAGACATTGGTCATATGAGGAGATACTGCCCCAGGCTTCGGGGCAAGGCAGTACAATAGGGTCAGCAGCCTATGATTTCAGCACCGGCTGCCTCGCCACTTAGAGGTGGAGGGTAGATTGGTAGGGGTCATCCTAGAAGTGCAGGCCAGGCAGGGAGAGATCAGCCAGCTACTGCTCAGTCAGGTGGAGGCCAGCTAGTCGGTGCTCCGGCCAGATTTTATGCCCTTCCGGCCAGGCTAGATGCATTGGCCTCAGATGGTGTCATCACAGGTATTATTTTCGTCGGCAGTAGAGATGTTTCGGTATTATTTGATCCAGGGTCTACTTATTCATATGTATCATCTCTGTTTGCTCGTTTCCTGGTTATTTCTCCTGAGCCTTTGGGCACTCTTGTTCATGTGTCTACTCCTATGAGTGATTCTGTGGTTGTGGATCAGATCTACCGGTCCTGTGTGGTCACACTCTGTGGTTTCGAAACTAGAGTAGATCTCCTGTTGCTCGATATGATCGATTTTGATATCATCCTGGGCATGGATTAGTTATCTCTGTATCACACTGTCCTATATTTCCATGCCAAGACTGTTACTTTAGCGATGCCATGGTTGCCGAGGTTGGAGTGGAAGGGTTCCACAGTTGATACATATAGTCGGGTTATCTCTTTCCTAAAGACTTGGCAAATGGTCAAGAAGGGGTGTTTGGCTTATTTGGCTTATGTTCGAGACACCACCGCAGAGTCTCTGACGATTGATTCAGTTCTAGTAGTTCGAGAGTTCGCCGTTGTGTTTCCTTCTGGTCTTCCTGGCATGCCACCGGATCGTGATATTGATTTCTACATCGATTTTGCTCCAGGAACCCAGCCTGTATCTATCCCACCGTACCATAGGGCTCCGAAGGAGTTAAAGGAGCAGCTTGAGGATTTGTTAGCAAAGGGGTTTTTTAGACACAGTATATTGCCTTAGGGTGCACCAATGTTATTTGTGAAGAAGAGGATGGAACTATGCGGATGTGCATTGATTTCCGCCAGTTGAACAAAGTCACCATCAAGAACAATTATCCGTTGCCTCGTATTGATGATTTGTTTGACCAGTAGCAAGGTGCTAGTGTGTTCTCCAAGGTTGACTTGAGGTCAGGATATCATCAGTTGAAGATTCGGGACTCGGATGTTCCGAAGATTGCATTCCGGACTAGATATGGCCATTTTGAGTTCCTGGTGATGTCCTTTGGCTTGACTAATGCCCCAACAGCATTCATGGACCTGATGAACAGGGTATTCAGGCCTTACATTGATCCATTTGTCTTCATCTTCATTGACGACATCTTGATATACTCCCGTGCCTGGGGGAGCACGAGCAACATTTGAGGGTAGTGCCTCAGACCTGGCTAGAGTCAGTGGCATTCTTGGGGCATATTGTGTCAGGAGACGGTATTAAGGTGGACCCCAAGAAGATTAAGGCAGTTCAGAGTTGGCCACATCCTACTTGGGTGACTGAGATTAGGAGTTTCCTGGGGTTAGCAGGTTCCTACAGATGATTCGTGCAGGGCTTTTCATCTATTGCATCACCTCTGACTAGGTTAACCCAAAAGGGTGTTCCTTTCCTTTGGTCCGATGATTGTGAGGCGAGCTTTCATAAGCTTAAGACATCCTTGACTACAACATTAGTCCTTGTGTTGCCTTATGGTTCAGGGATGCATACGGTATATTTCAACGTTTCACGCATTGGTTTGGGATGTGTATTGATGCCGGAGGGGCGAGTTATTGCCTATGCTTCGCGCCAGCTGAAGGTCCATGAGAAGAATTATCTTGTGCACTATCTAAAGTTGGCCGCGATCATTCATGCTCTTAAAATATGGAGGCATTATCTATATAGGGTGCCATGTGAGGTTTATACGGATCATCACAGCTTATAGCATTTGTTCAAACAGAGGGATCTTAATTTGAGGTAGCACAGGTGGCTTGAGTTACTGAAGGATTATGACATCACCATTCTTTATCATCCAGGCAAGGCAAATATGATCGCGGATGCCTTAAGCAGAAAGGTAGAGAGTATGGGTAGCTTGGCATTCATTCCAGCAGAGGAGATACCCCTAGCTTTGGACATTCAGTCCTTGGCTAACAGACTTGTGAGATTGGACATTTCGGAGCTCAGACGAGTTCTTGCGTGTGTTGTTGCTCAGTCTTTATTATTGGGGCAGATCAAGGCCCGACAGTTTGATGATCCCCATTTGGTAGTTCTCAGAGAGATGGTAATTCAGGGATGTTCCAAGGAGTTTTATATTGGCGAAGATGGTGTTTTGCGACTCCAGGGTCGTCTATGTGTTCCTAATGTTGATGGTCTGAGGGAGAGGATTCTAGAGGAGGCACACAGTTCGCGGTATTCCATTCATCCGGGAGCTACGAAGATGTATCGTGACTTGAGACAACATTATTGGTAGTGGAGGATGAAGAAGGACATAGTGGAGTATGTGGCTAGGTGTTTGAAATGCCAACAAGTCAAGTATGAACACCAGAGGCCGGGTGGCCTACTTCAGCAGATGCCTATACTAGAGTGGAAGTGGGAGCGCATTACCATGGATTTCGTAGTTGGGTTGCTGCGGACTTTGTAGAAGTTTGATTCAGTGTGGGTTATTGTTGACAGATTGACCAAGTCGGCACACTTCATACCGATGGTGACTACTTATACTTCGGAGAGATTGGCTCAGATTTACGTTCGGGAGATAGTTCGGTTGCACGGTGTGCCTGTTTCCATTATATCAGATAGAGC